GTTCGAGCTCCTCATGGGAGCACGAGGCGCCGCCGATACAGTCATCAATGTAACGGAGGAAGAGGTGGGGTACGTGCATCGGCCCAAGCTATGCCTGCCTCTTTGTAGGTTACGTGGAACAATCCCTCTTCCGTAGCTACACTGGCCCTAAACCCCACCTCTTCCTCTGTTACATTGATGACTGTATCGGCGCCGCCTCGTGGTCCCATGAGGAGCTCGAACAGTTCATCCACTTCACCAACACCTGCCACCCCAACCTTAAGTTCACCTGGACCATCTCTGATACCTCTCTCTCCTTCCTGGACCCCTCTGTTTCCATCTCTGGCAACCACCTGGAAACTGACATCCATTTCAAGCCCACCAACTCCCACAGCTACCTAGAATACACCTCGTCCCACCCACCTTCCTGCAAAAATGCCATCCCCTATTCCCAATTCCTTCGCCTCCGCCGCATCTGCTCCCAGGATGAGGCATTCCACCCCCAGACATCCCAGATGTCCTCGTTTTTCAAGGACTGCAACTTACTCCCCTCAGTGGTCAAGAACGCCCTCGACCGTGTCTCCCGCATTTCCCGCGACTCATCCCTCACACCCCCTCCCCGCAATAACAACCAAAACAGAATCCGCCTTGTCCTCACGTACCACCCCACCAACCTCCGGATCCAACGCATCATCCTCCAACACTTCCGCCATCTGCAATCCGACCCCACCACCAAAGACATTTTTCCCTCCCCACCCTTATCTGCTTTCCGGAGGGACCACTCTCTCCGGGACTCCCTTGTCCGCTCCACACTCCCCTCCAGCCCCACCACACCTGGCACTTTTCCCTGCAACCGCAGGAAGTGCTACACCTCACCCCCATCCCAGGCCCCAAGAAGACTTTCCACATCAAGCAGATGTTCACCTGCACATCTGCTAATGTGGTGTACTGTATCCACTGTTCCCGTTGTGGCCTCCTCTACATCGGGGAAACCAAGCAGAGGCTTGGGGACCGCTTTGCAGAACACCTACGCTCAGTTCGCACTAAACAACTGCACCTCCCAGTCGTGAACCATTTCAACTCCCCCTTCCATTCCTCAGACGACATGTCCATCCTGGGCCTCCTCCAGTGCCACAACGATGCCACCCGAAGGTTGCAGGAACAGCACCTCATATTCCGCTTGGGAACCCTGCAACCCAATGGTATCAATGTGGAGTTCACAAGCTTCAAAATCTCCCCTCCCCCTACTGCATCCCAAAATCAGCCCAGCTTGTCCCCGCCTCCCTAACCTGTCCTTCCTCTCACCTCAAGCCCCACCCCCATCTCCTACCTATTAACCTCATCCTGCTCCCTTGACCTGTCTGTCCCCCCTGGACTGACCTATCCCCTCCCTAACTCCCCACCTCCACTCACCTTTACTGGCTCCATCCCCGCCTGTTTGACCTGTCTGTCTTCTCTCCACCTATCTTCTCCTCTATCCATCTTCTATCCGCCTCCCCTTCTCTCCCTATTTATTTCAGAACCCCCTTCCCCTCCCCCATTTCTGAAGAAGGGTCTAGGCCCGAAACGTCAGCCTTCCTGCTCCTCTGATGCTGCTTGGTCTGCTGTGTTCATCCAGTTCTGCACCTTGTGTCACGTCACAATCCTTCTTCAGAAACGTGGGAGGGGGAAGGGAGCTCAGAAGTAAATAGAGAGAGGAGGGGTGGGGCTGGGGAAGTTGGGTGGGATGGTGATGGGTGAATGCAGACAGGCAGTCGTGGGGATAGGTCAGTGGGATGGGAGGAGCGGATGGGTGGGAGAGAAGTTTGTGTCAAGTCAAAGAGGTGGGGCCTCCTCCTATGTCACAAGGACGCCACCCAGAAACTAGAGGAGCAGCAGCACCTCATATTCCGCCTTGGAAGCCTGTTGGCCTAAATGTGGACTTTACCAGTTTCAAAATCTCCCCACCCCCGACCTCATCCCATGACCCACCCTCCCTCTCATCCCTGCCTCCTTGACCTCACACAACTTGTCCATCTTCTCTCCCACCTATTTGCTCCTCCCATCTCACTGACCATTCGCCACCACTGTCTACGTGCAGTCACCTATCACCATCTCACCCACCTTTCCCATCCCCACCCTCCTCTATTTATTTCTGAGCTCCCTTCCCCCTCCCCCATTTCTGAAGAAGGATCCCGACCCAAAACGTCAACTTTCCTGCTTCTCTGATGCTGCCTGGCCTGCTCTGTTCCTCCAGCCTATCTAGCCTCTCCTTATAACTAAATCCTCCATTCTTGGCAACATCCTGGTATATCTCCTGAACCCTGACCTGCTTAATAATAATCTTCCTGTGAACAAGGTGACCAGAACTGGACACAGTACTCCAGAAGAGGCTCACCAACAGAGAATGATGAGCCTGTGGAATTCTCTGCCACAGAAAGTGGTCATTTCCCAAATGTTGATTTTTTTCAAGAAAGAGTTTGATATAGTTCTTAAGACTAAAGAGCTCCAAGAGTAAGAAGGAGAAAATGGGAATAGGGAACTGAGTTGGATGATCAGCCATGATCTTATTGAATGGTGAAGCAGGCTCAAAGGGCCAAATTGCCTATATCTGTGCATGTTTTCTATGTTTCTATGCTTCAAGTCCTAATTCTAAAATGTTAACTGTTTCTCTCTCAACAGATTTTGCCAGACCTGCTGAGATTCTCCAGCATTCTGTTTGGTTCAAATTTCTAGCATCTGCAGTATTTCGCCTTTACCCACCTACCTTCGTCTGATGTGTCACCTTGCTATTTTTCAAATCAACGGGGAAGACCTTCACTTTGCCTTGCTCCAATTTATCAGCTGTCACTGCTGCTGTCAGATGTTGTTTCCCACTCCCTAACTTGGAATGCTGCTGTTCTTTAAAAGACCTGTCCCCTAATTGCACTGAATTCCCCTGCTGAACAGATTTTCAGAATTGAGTACTGTCAGAGTTGAAGTTCATCAAGCTGACTTTGTGCTATTTACTTCTTTTATGTAGAAAAATGTCCAAAAGGTGAGATGATAGGAGAGATAGAGTGGTACAGTCCCTCATAGTGCCAGGGACCCGGGTCTGATTCCAGCCTTGGGTGACTGTCTATGTCGAGTTTGGATGTTCTCCCCGTGTCTGTGCGAGTTTCCTCCTGATGCTATGGTTTCCTCCCACAGTCCAAAGATGTGCAGATTAGGTGGATTGGCCACGCTAAATTGCCCCGTAGTTTGAGGCTAGGTGGGTTAACTATGGTAAATCTGGGGTTGTGGGATGCTGTTTGGAGGGTTGGTGCAGACATGATTGGCTGAATGGCTCTACCTGCACTGTAGAGATTTGAAATAACCTAAAATGGATTAGAAAGGGTAGATATAAAGAGATGAGGGTGGTGGTGATGTTGAGCCATTTATGGAGAGAATTCTAGTACGTGACCAAACAGCATATAAATATAATACTATCCATTTGCATTCCCGCCTAAATTGAATTTGTCCCAGTGAGTTGGGAAATATCTTCGCAAAATCTTGTCAAAACTGATACAAGTTTGCTGTAAGCTATTCATAATTTGACACAAATTTACAGTCCCACACAAAAAGTCAATGACAAATATTTGTGTACAGACTTACATTATACATGAACCATGAACCAGCTTTTGAGGATTGGAATTTGCACATTTTTCCAAAATAGGCATAACTTTGAGGCAAGTCACCTCAGAATGTTTGATTCTTTCTGTCAGTTTAACTGGAAAACAAATTCATAATCATAAGATCACTGTCAACACAATACCAGATGTTTCATTTTATGTATTTTTTGTATAATAGCCCGAAAAAGCAGAATATCCATGATGGAATACAGATGATGCAGGCTTCATTCTTAGAGTCATCGAGATATACTGCATAGAAACAGACCCTTTGGTCCAACTCATCCATGCTGACCAGATATCCTATCTAAATCTCGTCCCATTTGCCAAGATTTGGCCCATATTGCTCTAATGCCTTCCTATTCATATACCCATTCAGATGCCAAATAAATGTTGTGATTGTACCAGCCTCCTCCACTTCCTCTGGTAGCTCATTCCATACATGCACCACCCTCTGCATGAAAAAGTCATCACTTGGGTCCCTTTTATATCTTACCCCTCTCAGCTTAAACCTGTGCCCTCTAGTTTTGGACTCCCCCACCTCGGGGAAGAGACCTTGCCTTTTTACCCGATCCATGCCCCTCGTGATTTTATAAACTTCAATAAGGTCACCTCTCAGCCTCCGATGCTCCAGGGAAAATCGCCGTAGTCTATTCAGCCTCTCCCTAGAGCTCAAACCCTCCAACCCTGGCAAAATCCTCATAAATCTTTTCTGAACCCTTTCTAGTTTCACAGCATCCTTCCTAGGAGGGAGACCCTGTGGCATTCCACATCTCTTCAGCCAAAATAATCACCAACATGCTTTAGAATCCTTGTGGAAATTAACCCGTTCATATTAATATGGCTTCACTGCTGACTTTATGCATAGGACTCTGAGTTTCGGTCTCGTCATGAACGTGTTAATTTAGTTTTTAGGTCTTGGCGATGATGCTGTTTTCTCTGAATCAGAAGGTTGGGGTGCTGAGTCCCTTATCAAAGCTTTCAGCACATTATCTAGACTTAGGTTTCCATGCAGTTTTGAGGGAGTGCTGTGTTGTCCTTCAGATGCAAGATTAAATCCAGGCATCAGTTTCTAGTTTTGATGGTCACATTTGAAGAAAAGTTGGGAATTCTCTTGCACAATATTTCCGCAACCTAACAAGCTATTCAGACATTTTAACAACCACATTTTTCTACAAAACAATAACTTTAAAAGTAATCCATTGGGTGTTAAATGTTTTGGGACATCCTATTGTTGTGAAGTGGTTTTATTTTACGTAATGTTAAGTCTAAGAGGATTAACTAAATCTTTACATTCTGGACACTAAGCTTACAATTTCGTGTGTTTAATTCTTGTATTATGCACTTGGTCAATGGATTAAGTCTATAACATTTTTTCTTCTATTGCAGATATTAGATGAGGAGTCCTTATGACAAATATGAGCTGGGCCTTCTTAACACGTCTTCTTGAAGAAATCCACAATCATTCCACCTTTGTTGGCAAGGTATGGCTGACAGTGCTGATTATTTTCCGCATTGTGCTGACTGCAGTTGGAGGGGAGTCTATATATTCTGATGAGCAGAGCAAATTTGTCTGTAACACCAAACAGCCTGGGTGTGAGAATGTCTGCTATGATGCATTTGCACCTCTCTCCCACGTGAGGTTCTGGGTTTTTCAGATCATCATGATATCTACCCCATCTGTAATGTATCTTGGCTATGCCATCCACAAGATTGCCAGATCTACTGAAGAAGAAAAGAAGAACAAGTTCTTCAAGAAAAAAAAACTGCCAACAGTACGATGGCAAGTCCACCGTAATTCGGAACAAACAGAGGATGAAGATGAGGAGGAGCCAATGATTAATGATGAAACAGAAAGTGAGAAAAGAGTCTGTAGTAATGAAAAGCATGACGGAAGACGACGCATTTTGCAAGAAGGTCTGATGAAAATGTATGTTTTCCAGTTGATTTTCAGGGCCCTATTTGAGGTGGCTTTCCTTCTGGGACAATATTTTCTATATGGATTTGAAGTTAATCCATCCTATGTCTGTACTAGAATTCCCTGTCCTCACACTGTGGACTGCTTTGTCTCAAGACCGACAGAGAAGACGGTTTTCCTCATTGTAATGTATGTAGTCAGCTGCCTTTGCCTAATTCTTAATATCTGTGAGATGTTCCATCTGGGCTTTGGAACCATCAGAGATATAATCCGTAGCAAACGGCGCAACCAGAGCAACATGCGACCTTTCCCTTACCATTATCCTCGGAACATTCCATCATCGCCACCAGGATACAGTCTGGTGGTCAAATCAGACAAGTCCACCAAGGTTCCAAATGGTCTTTTGGCTCATGAGCAAAACTTAGCTAATGTAGCCCAAGAGCAACAGCCCACTAGTCCAGATGACAACATCCCGCCTGACTTGGCCAGGCTCCACAAGCACCTGAAAGATGCCCAGGAGCAGTTGGATATTGCTTTTCAGAGTTATAACACTCAAGAGAATGCACTCAAATCCAGGACCAGCAGCCCAACATCAGGAGGTACTGTAGTGGAGCAAAACCATGTCAACACTGCTCATGAGAAACAGGGTGCTAAGCCCAAACCTGTCTCAGAGAAAGGCAGCTCCAGTAGCAAATCTGGAGATGGAAAAACATCCGTTTGGATTTAACTTCTGTTTATAGTCAATTAAGTTTACAATAGTCCCTTTAAAAAGGCAGTAGCCACTTTCTGCACATTTTACTACAGTCTGCTTTATTTTAGATAACCAACATAATAACAATACAGCTTCTTGGGTTATAAGAATAGTGAGACAAGGCTCCCAGTGTGAAATCTGGTTCAATGATGGTGCAAATCAGAAAATTGAAACCAGATGCCAGAGGCGGTGTTCCTGATTTCCTAGCCATCAAAATCGATGACTGCAAAACTGAGAGGCCCATAAATCATATATAGAAATTGTTTTACTAATCATTTGGTCCTATTGAACAGAGCCTTATGTTGGGCTCATAGTGCTGTCCCTCTCAACTCTCCCTAAACCACTAGGTATCTGCTTGTACTCCAATTTAAAATGGAGTAACATCTAGAGTTACTGCATTAAGAATGCATGCATTTGTGGTGATAAAGATTATAGTTGTTTTCACTTGAAAATTTAAATAGTTGTTGGGCCGCTATTAATTTTCTTTACCTGATTCACTGTGTGCCTATTTCACAGGAGACAAACCATTGACTCCATTATGGCTACAAATGATTAAACTGCAATTATCATTTTACTTTCTCGTCCAATTTCTTTTAGTAGCCGCTTCACCTTATGGTAATGGATTGGTTCAAAATGTCAGGACTTTGACGAACTGTAAAAGGGAAATATAAACACGGATATGCTTTAGAAAAGACAAACTATACAGCCACATTGTTTTGTTGTCCTTTGCTTGCTAAAGAAAATTTGTCCTATCTAATACTCTTTACTCTCTTTTGGTTCAAAATCTAGGACAATTTCATGCTGTATTACTCTTGTCTCAATTTCTGTAGACTTTGTGCATTTCTTTAACCTTGATGAAATGACCTCATCTTTTAATGTGAACATTTCATAGATAAAATAGTTTCATTTTCAAAGAAAATCAAATATACCTTAGTTAAATGTAAAAAAGCTATGCATCTTTGTCCTAAAAGGCATATGGATTGTGGGAGGAAGGGAAATTTGACATCTTGTCCGAGCAATGTCAGGAAGTGTGTGTGTAGAAACATCTGTAGATTGGACATCCTCAACTTTATGATTAAGGATTGAGGAAATTACATGAAAAAGTGTTGATGGGAAGAGGAGTTGGGAAGTGCAAGCCTTTTATTTAAAAAAAGGGCAGACAAATTCAAAGGAATGTTGCCATTGTCTTAAAATGCCACTTTAGAATTTTGGTTCTGCAGTAGCTTTATCATACAATGGTGTTAGTTAGTGAAGTGCATTAACCCTAATTCAGGTTCATCTAATAATAACCAATTTGTACGCTGCATTTGAAAATGAAAGCTTATGCTACACTGCACTTTAGCCTCAAGTTGAAACTATGCACAGAACAAGTGTTGTTGTTTCCTCTTCCAACCATTCATATGACCAGGAAAAACAAATCCAAATTGTTTAAGAATTAATCTTTTTGAAACTCTGACTTGCCAAAATCCTTAATTAGAAACAGAAAATGTTTGAAATGCACAGCCGGCTAATTGAAAAATTTTACAGTAGAGAAGAACGCACTTGCAGTGGCTCTGCTTGGTGCCTGCCAAGTACCAGATGTTTGAAGTGTGATCCTTCATCATAATGTATGATGGTATTGTGAAAACAGATTGAAATAGATAAACAGAAACAAAAAATGATGGCAATAATAACGCTTTGTATACATAAGGTTCAAAAATCAATTAAACTGCATGGGTTTCAGCAGAGGATTAATCAGCTCTTGAAAGTTACTGCCCAGAATGATCAGGATAAACTGCTACTCTATATGATAACTGAATCCCACAAGGCGAGGTCATGTGTGCCACATTGCAGTTCAAACAAATTTTGTTTATCAAAGCCTAAGTTTATTTCACATAACGTTAAATGATATAAAACACATAACTAAGCTTCTCTCAAGTTATTTGCCCGTTTGTCATCTGGAATTTTAAACTTATCACCATCCCTTTCACACTGAAGCTCAGTTTTCAGGGAGTCAGAAGTAGAATCCATTGTCAGTGTCAAAATAATGCCCAATCATGTAATATCCACACAGTGATTTTAGCAACAGTCTGAATAGTTCACATGTTTTGATTGTGAACAGTGATGCATTTGTTTATCAGATTATACTTTTAGCCCACTGGTCTCCTTAGATTGTTCAACAGGTAAGACTGAGAAAATAATTGAGCTTATGTTACTTGCTTCTCAACCTCCCCACACATTTCTTTGAGCCATTTAGTAAACTTACTGAATTGCCAGGGGTTAGCGTTATCTTAAGAGAAGATCGTGATTTCTACTTCTCCCTTTCCTTCATTCTGTTAAAGTTGAAGGTTTTCCCTTAAGATATATCCACAATGCAGCCAAAATCAGAAACTGAGTAGCTGGCAGAATTGTATCTCCATCCAGCAATGTTCAGTGCAACACTGGGCATTAGGCTTTCCAATTTAAAAATTATGTTGATGTATTTAGATTGTTTTTACAGGAAATTAATCATACTTGGTGCACCAGACTTTTCAGTTTATCACCATGCAAGATGCAGAATGTACATTATTGCTGTTCAATCCCAATTCAGAAGTTTTTATATTTTGTTATTGATTAATAAATACATTGTTCTTTCACTCCTCTCTGTGATTAATATCACAATATGATGTTACGCTCCTAATCAAACAACCGAGGCTGGAAATGTAACTAAGCTGTCCTTTTGAGAACTGGGTTGACCTGCCGTGCTTTTCTAACATTTTCTCTTTATATTTCTGATTTACTGGCATTGTTTATTCTTAAAACTATTCCATAATTTATTGATTAAAAGACAAATGTGGCCCTTTAAGTATGTACTCGAAATAATGGGACAATGAATGGATTGAATGGAAATACAAACCCAGAACAACTAGTTTATGGCCTCTGAACAATAGTCATCAGATCACAAACGTGTATTGGCAGTAAGTTGCCCAGCTGATGATGTTATGCGCTGTGAACTTTATTTTCCAATGCACTGAAAATCAGGATCAATCTGTTTTGCTTATTTGGCACTTGTCATTTATAGACTGTATTACAGTTCTTGTTTTAAACACATATTCTTTCTACTAAGTGCCTTAGCTCATGAAAATAAATTCTTTAGATGTAAATTTTTATGATGAAAAATGACAGCACAAAACAGTAATTACATTCTTAGATCTAGAGTGTTTGCATTTATATTATGGAAAGAAATGTTTATACATCAGATGAGATTTTGAAAGGAAATTTGAATTCAATGGCTTAGCTAACTATTTCTAGCTCAGATTTTTTCCCTGCATACAGTAATCCTTTCTAAAATTACACAAATGCTGGAAATGCACAGCAGATTGATCAGGATCTGGAAGAAATAGATTAATGTTTCAGGTAAGACTCACAGTGCATTTACAGCATGTCACGGGATTTACAACATTTTTAGTTTTATATCTATATATTATATAAATGTTATATTTTATAATGTGTATTTGTACATAATCTGTACATATTGAATTGTAGGTTACCTGAAAATAGAGATGAACAAATCTCAATCCAGTTCTGATGAAGGGTCACTGGACCTGAAACGTTAATTCTGCTTTCTATCTACAGATGCTGCCAGACCTGCTGACTTTTTCCAGCAATTTGTGGTTTTTAAACCACAATCTATGTTGGCTTGAACCGAGCTGGGTCAAGTGTGAGCTAAGAATTTCAGAAGATGCTTGAAGGAGATAGAAACAAAAAGTTACTCTTTGTATTATTAGCACATAGACATATGGCACGTTTGTATGACACTTTTTAATTACTGCCTCTGAATAGACATGGATTGTCATAAAAATGCACTAACCATCCATGTGCTAACATTGCAAAGACTAATGTTTGAACTGTAGATAATGGGATCCCATGGGATATATCTGAATGAACACACAAGCTATAACATTTTTATCAAAAGCTCTTCTGTTGACAATGGCTGGTTTGTTCCACTTCTGTAATTATTAGACCATAGGTGAGTTGGGAAATGGTAACCTTCATCACCAGGTCTTGTAGAATTTATTAGGGCAACTCCCAAGCCAGAAGGATCAAGAGTGTCACTCCACTCCATCCTGAGCTAGATTGCCCACTGAGCTGGTGGTGGCTGGACTACAATAATTGATCTCAACAACCCAAGATTAAGGAAGGAGAAAATTCAAATTGTGATCTTTTTGCTGATCATTATTGAATGAAACCTGCTGCAAAAACACATTCAACTGTAACTTCCTCTATAATTGAATAATATAAAGACATTCACTAATTATATCTATCTATAATGATTACTTACGTGATGTATTGAAAGTGAAAATTGTTTTCAAGGAATTATATTTGAACATGATTAGAAAATAATAGGAGAATCAGATAGAAACTAAACTTTTTTTACTAATTCATGAGACTTGGCATCACTGGTAAAGCCAACATTTGTTGTCTGTCTCTCGTTGCTCTTGGAACTGAATGGCTTGCTATACCATTTCAGAGTGCAGTTAAAACACATTGCTGTATGTCTGGAGTAACCTACAGGCCAGACCAGGTGAGGACAGCACAGTTCCTTGTCTAAAGGTCATTAATGACTTAGATTTTGTGTGGATTGCAGAAAGATCACAGCTATATCACTGAAACGTATTTTTTTTTCTGAGTCATCTGTTGTTGTCTTAAACATTAAAGACATGTAGAAAATAATGCAATTGAGGCATGATTTAAGTCACTTTCCATGACAGTTTTTCAAGCAGTAAAGGAGTGCAAGTTTCTTGAGAAACCAGTTTTTTAAAACAAGTTTCTTATTTCTATTAAGAATTCAATGTCGTTTTAGTCATATATTTTCTTCAAAAACAGCGAAAACATGAACATTAACTGACCAACTTGTTGGCCATTCATTGGGAGAAGAATTAAAATATAGATAATTTGCTACTGAAATAGAACGGTTCATTGTTAATTTGTGCTGGTAATAGTAGATAACCAATTAACAGATGATTATATCAGTCGTATTGTGTTAACTGGATTATACTTAAAATTAAATGCACTAGTGGGTGGTTCAAAATACGAGAGTATGAAATAAAATTACAGCAAAAAGCCCCTTTTCCAATGCAGTTTCACAATGGTGTAGGATTGAAAAGAAGCATCTGCCACATAAAAGGCAATGACAGTCAATTTGAAATTGGTAACAATTTTTGACACTTTAGTCATTTGAGATTGTGACCGAGGTTGAGCTACGTCAAGGCAATCAGATAACACAAATGTAAAACTTATGCTGGAGTTCAGCTACCTTGATTATGCAGAGGCCCAGACACCAGCAGTAATTGGTACTAGTGCCATTTTAACATTGAGTATCCTGGTAAGGAGGATGATGTAATTAATTTTGCATTAATGGCCAAGATCAATTTCACACCAGTTGTCCTTTATTACAGAAACTCCTAATTTTCACAACAATTGGAAGCAAGCAGGTGGACGATCTGCTTCAACTTGCAGACTCAACATACTGTTGAGAATTTGGATGTAAGACATTTTGGCATCTTATAGAGTCATATTTCTATTGTGAGAATATTCCTTGTGCACCTCAAAAAG